CTATTACTTTATAATGACTTGGTGGGGCGCATCTCCTCCTCAATATTTTCACAATATACAATGGAATACTACTAACTGCTGTTATAACTGCTACTTTCCAAACAAAAACCCAAGTTAAAATAAACGATAAATCTATTTATGTGACAAAAAAAAAAAAATTAGAATTATATATTAATATAGTTATGTCTAACAAGTAAATCCCTTACCAAAATAAGTCGGTAAGAATGCCATAGAAACAATATAAATTGCGAATGTTATAATTTCTGATAAGATCATAAGGTAATGCCTTATCGTACATATAAAAAATAATCTTTTGGTTAGTACATATAAATAACATAAATTATTACATAATATTAAAAAGACTAATTATACCATGTATTGATTTCCAGTGCGACCATCAACAACTCATTAAAAATCAGTGCAGTAAATGAAATAGCAACAATATTCACAAATTCATCCTCAAATAATAGAATTGACATAATCATTATAGCACCACCTAATATATATATATATAATTTTTAATTACAATATATATAAAATTGATAAGTTATTATATGTTATACCTTGATAAACACTAATCATTAACCATTGAAAGAAGGTCTTTAGAGATAAGGAGCGCCCCTGAAAAAGATTATAAAATTATTAATGCTTGTGTATTAACTGATGAAAATAATAGATTTAATTCAATTAATTTATACCTTGGTCAACTCTTTATATAATTCAGGAAATTTAAACGCTGTTTCTTCTTTTACATCCCTATCCAGTACCAGAGAGAATACTGGAGCCATGGTATAAAAGGTAGAATATCCTACAATTAACCATCCCTATTTTAAAATAAATATAGGTTAGATCGTTACATACGTGTAGAAATTATATAACTCATTATGATTTATCACAAATATGATTATTACTTGATAAAGAGCAATTGGTGCAAAAAAGAATAAGGCCGAAAATACAGCTTGTATAACTGATATTATTAACCCACGATGAATAACAAATTGAGCAAGCTTGGCTGATCGTTTATAGCTATTTCTACCATGCCACACTAATTCGAGTGATTTATACGTTAAAAGATTTATAGTGGTAATATGTATAAATAATTAGGAATGATAAGCATAAAACATACATAACAATTTAGTCAAGTAACTAAATTGAATTATGGAGAAATCTGCCGCTAATGATGCTTGCTTTCCTTCTTTTCCAACTATTCCGACTCCTATAATTATTAAGGTCCATGTAAATTTAATAAGTATTATACATAAATATATTAAAAATAATGGCTTCTATAAAGCTTACCAACATGAGCTGCTTGAATCATGCTAACATCATTACCACCATCTCCTATGCAACATACTCTCTTTCCTGTGTATTCGATTATGAGTTTGGTAATATCGGCCTGTACGAAAAAATCAAAATAAATAAATGCTTTGAAAAATATAAAACTTTTTAATGAGCTTTTTTTTCTTATTTCTTTTTTTTTTTTTTTTTACCTTTTGAGTAGGTGAGCATCGACACGCTACAACAACCGGTAAACGTACAGCTACCTCGATGAAATCATTTTTATAATTATCCATATAAAACTACAATAATGGTATCCAATAATTAGTAAAATTTTGAGAAATAAATATTGTATATTTAGAACGTTAATACCTGAAGAGAAACCCCGTCAATCACTAAACAACAATCTTTTTTGCTTTTCAGGACTTCCAATTCCTCCAAAGCTTCATTCGGATCGATCACTTTTATTTGAAATAATAATATTAATAAAAATAAAAATAACAATAAAAATACAATAAAAAATAATCTAAAAATTAATTACCTTGTGATATTTGATGTATATTTTGACCTCTTGATACCAACTTTGATGAAACAGCAATACACGTAGCTGTCTCAATTTTATCTCCTGAAATTAATAATCATTATTAAAACCAAAAAATGGATAAATGATATTTATTTTCGGGAAATTATATAAAATAATCACTGACCAGTCAACATCCAAATTTTTAACCCTGCATTTCTTAAGAGTTCTAAGGTATTCTTTACCTCGTCTTGAAGTTTATCCTCCACACCAGTTACACCCAAAAGTTCTAAATCCTGTTCTAAAATTGAAACAACTACTGCTTGTTCTTGAGCCTTACGATCGACTATGCTCACTTTTGCTTCATTAAACCTATAATATTAAATAATCAATATAAATTTATGGGTTTATCTGGAAAAACAAATTTACATACTTTTCTTGAAATTCATTATAAATATCTTCAGATAACCTCCTACGAGCAATAACCAATGTTCTCAACCCTTCCCTAGCCATATTATCACATTCTTCATCCAACCAATCATTATATTGTACAATCTTACTCATAACAACATCCGCACCCTTCTGATAAAACATTATTTCACCAGTAGTCTTATCCTTAACAATAATACCCATTCTTTTGGACTCACTTGTAAATGGGAATATCTGAAGGATTAAGTATTCTAATGTTTCCCCATCTGCTGTACGAAGGTGCATTTCATTAATATCTCGAAAAACCAACGTGAGTCCAACTTGTTCTGTCCAACGAACAATGGCAACTTCATCTGGAGAAGATGCTTGATATGTAATTGCACCATTTTCTGGCAAGGACACACGAGCAGTAATGAATACCAGCCATCCAGAAACAAAGACTGGATTATTAGATCATGAAATCAATAATCTTTCCAAGGTCATTAAAGTTTTAAGAATTTGTAAATGTAATATTTGTCAATATCATGTCCATTGTTTAACAAAGAAAATATTCGCATATTGTGGGTGGTAGATTCTTTTTATTGTAACTTTGATATTATCTATAATGTTAATCGCGTTAAATGGTTTTCGCGGTCTCTGGTATATATATCTATTCCGATTCTTGATTATATTTTCATCTATCATTCCAATTGGGTAAGTTTATTAATTTATTTTCACTGCACCATATCCTACCATGTATAAGCATCTATGATAAATAAATCTTACCTTCAGTATAGTCAAATATTAATGAGCAATTTATTGAGCATATAAAATTTACACCGTAAGAAAGCAAAAAACAAATATGCTTATTTATGGTAGGATAAGTAAATTTAACTATTTAGTGAATTAATATTGGTGACTTTTTTTTAGTTTGCGTGTTAATTTAGATATGGGGAAATCTGTTTATGCATATCAGATGATGAGTGATAAAGAAATACCAAACACTGTTGTTCGTACTAGCACTATACCCGG